TTAGCCGTTTGATCTGCCCTTGCATTTTCTGAAATGTATCTTTTCTAGTTTCTTTCCTTGCAGAAATCTCTGTCCTGCTACTTCAGCAGTGAAGGTCTACTGCTCTACACAGTTGTACTTTAAGACAAGAGTGAGAAACTTGGACAGACACTCGCAGTTTACATCTAACAACCTTGAATATCTCAAAAAATTTCACATTAGTCCAGCACATCTCATAGCAAACTTACAGGGCATGCTTTGTTTTCTCTTTAAAATGCAAACCATATAAATAAATTTCCATTGGAGGGTAAAAAACATGAGTATCAACCTGAAATATTTCCACAGTATTTTATCCGTGCTTCTTATGAGGTGTTGATCTATCAGATTGGGCTACATACAAATAATAGGTCCATTTACAGTTTTCTCTCTGCCTGCAAAAAGCTACAGCTAGGAAGACTTGACAGAAAGAATACCTGCTTCCAAATCTCTCTTGGCTGCAGCTAAAGTCCACTTAGAATTATTAGTCCAAAGAGACAATAGGATTTAGACGGTGTTGTTGTCTTCCTATGTGATTTGAAACTTGTTCAATTTTCTCTAAGTTAATTCCACTTGACCCTAGCTGTTTAATGATGTAACATAATCAGAAATCATAACACTTCATTCTAATGTATGCAACTCGGTCAGTATCACTAGAATAAAGCAGAGTGCTGCGACTTTATTCCCTATCAGACATTGTCAGATCTGAATAATGAAGGGTCATATAATCAAAATCACATAGTTCCAAAAGGACAGAAAAAAAAACCCCAGAATTATTACTTTCCCCTTATAACACAGAAGACACTAAAATCACCACAGCTACACAGAATAAGCTGCCAGGGTGAGAGATGCTTCTCTTTGCACTTTGTTCTCCTGTGTCTGTTTGGTGACTGTGTTTGCGCACGTTACTGCAGTGGCTGTTCCTCCTGCCAGGAGCCTGACTGTTACTCCATCATGCTGAGCCAAGCAAAATGGAAGAGGGGATTTATCAACAGGATGATGCAGAAGAGAAAGCATCATGCTTGCCCTTGGTTTGGTGAATGAGGGTAGTTTCATGCAGGATGACCCGAAGGAGACACATAGATGCAAGGAGTCTCCAGGACAAGGGTAAAGAGGAGAGTGTGAAGGAGCACAGAGGGGTGTCAAAAGGGAAAAGGACATTCCCCTGCCCAAAAGAAACATCCTCTGGTGTTTTGCATTCCGTGTGTTTCAGTGGGCACACTGAATTTTTCCCTCGTCCAGCTAAGGGAAGGTTCTCTTCTTTTGTATCTGAGAAAATTATTAATTTGGCTCAGCAGAAGAAGAGGGAGACAAAAGAGCTGATCAGCAGTGTTGTCTCATCTATTATTACTGGCTCTTCTGTTGTTCCACTTCTTCAAAATAGTGTCTGGAGGAAGGCTAGAGGGTGATGAAATCAGGACCTCACCCAAGTCATTCTAGCAAAGGATGCCTGTGGGGCTGCCATTATGCAGGGGGCTCAAAAGGGACTTGTGCATAACTGCAGGGCTGAAAGATGAGATGAAATGTGAACAGTGGCATGTAATTGGTCCATTTGAATGTTTAGGCTTGGGGAATGTCTGGAATCCCCATTCCTTCAGGCCCTTTCATACAGTTATGTACAATTTAATTTTAATTGCTTCATCAACTCAGCACCCACACAGTGGCTAGCAAAACCACCTCACTCTAATGAAAGAGCAGACAATGTTATAGCTGTCATACATTTGTGGGGTAGAATGAGCAATTTAGAAATCAAGCAGTTCAGACCAAAATTAGATTCCGGGCAAAACTCCTACGTGTGCATTTTAACCTCACGATTTTTTATTAGAGAGCAGTGGAATCTGTCTTAATGTGAAGGTTATTTTCTTTCCTTAATATGAGGAGTTAGGAATAACACTACACTTTTTTTATAAACCAAAACCAAGTTTACTGCTTTGAAAAATAGTTTGTCTTTACTAAATGGCAGAAAAATATTTCCTGTAGATTCTGCTTTCCAGTTAGGTATGTGCATCTGCTGTGATATCATGTTTCATTATGATGTTAAGCTATATTTGACATAAATTAGAACTACTTGACTTCTATAGCAGCTCTTTACAATTAATATTATAAATTCTTTACTATATTGGAGTGAATTATTGTGATTATTGTGATTAAGCTAGATACTTATGTGAAAACTTTACCACAGTGCTTAGCAGTGGTGGTCAAGAAAACCAAATCAACTTTTAATAGGAATTGTCAGGAAAGGAACAGATAACAAAACAGTGAATGTCTGATTGCACAATGGTAATCTGTAGTTCACCACTGGTGCACAATTCTGGTTCCATGCAGAAGGATAAAATTACCAATAAAAGATTTGGAGAAGGGTAGAAAGGGTGATAAAAGCTAGGAAATGGTTCCTATATGAGAAAATACTTGGTAAATGGTTAATCTGAGGGGAAAAAAAAGTAGTTAAGAATAGATCTTGAAAAACATGACTGGTGTGAAGAGGATGGACCGGAACTGACTGATCACTGCCTGTCTCAGTAACCATCAGGGGAAAGTATGAGGAGACATGTTCAAAACAAACAGAAGGTATGGATTCCCCCTGCAGCAAGGAGAAAGATGTTAAGAATACTGAAAGTTAGCATTAAATCAGCAGACAAGTTTGTGGAGAAAAACCCACAGAGGGATACAGAACACAGAGAAATCACAAAAGCCTACGGAGAGTCACAGAAAATGTAGAAATCACAACTTAGGAAGTCCATGAGCAGAAAATAATTGCTAGCTGACAAACTGTTAGGAAGAAGCGTTATACACTTTTGACTTATTTTTCCTTTTCTCTAGCACCTATTTATGGCACTTCTAGAGACAGGATAGTGGGCTTGATGAACCCATCATCTGATCAAGTAGGGCTTTCTCACTAGAAGAGGTTTATTTGCTAACTTAACCTCACAGCAGATTTGGTGAAATCATAAATGTTTCTCTAAAGAAACATCATGAATGATGTTAGCAGGCTTAATTCTTCCTCTCATATGCCAGTACCCATAAGAAAGAAACAGGGGAACCTTTTAAAAGTCTTGTTTACAATATATCCTTCCTTTTATTAATCTTTTGTTTAAAATTTCCCCTTTGCAATTCTGCTGATCTTGAGGGGGTCTCTAGGAACCTGCATGTCTGCACCAGCTCTTGCATCTAGTCATTCTCCCTGATTCTTTTTGAGATGTCTATTAATCTTTTCAGTTAATTTATCAGTAGCATGGATAATGACTAGCCATATATATTTGGTCTATATGTTTTAAAAATGTTTAAAGCATAAATACAAGTTTGCTTAGCAGTATTAACAGACATAAAATTGTCATTTCTGCTACCTTGTAGTATGAAAAATGTCAAATATACTGATTAAAAGCCTGTTGAGTGAAAAGTAGCCAATTATTTTTAAATTACTCTATTTACTCTATGCTATTCTAAACACACTATAAAAATTACATCTGGTAAGCAATGCTGACTTAATTTCTGTGATGTACTGTAGTAATAAATGACTGCATTCTATGTTCTCCTAATCTGTAGTGAGTACAGCTTGATTTTCAAAACAATTCAGTATTGTTCTTGAAACGACTCTGATGATAAAGAGTTTGGAAGATCAGTTAGAAGAACAAAAAAACATACGGAAGTACAGCTCTAGTGAATAAAGGCCTGATGGCTAGCATCTAAGATGATACTAGGTGTCTGTTAGAAAAGGAAGCATTTTGGGACTTTTAAGATATTTGGGACTTTTTAAGATATTAATGATCCCTATCTTAATATCCAGACAGTTAAATTTGTAATGCTTCAGGAAAGATATAGAACTGCTTATAACACTTATAACTGAGCAGGACTGAAAGGAAGGGTAGAATTTTGGCTTGAGCACACCTAGTTCATATTGTGAACTTATTAAGTTAATATTGCAGCATTGCCATCCCTTGTACTAATCTAGCTATAGAAGTTTAAAGATACAAGATCTTTACTCAAGGACAGTGGGATTTGTAGAAGTGCCCGTTTGATTAAGGAACACTAATCACATCAAGCATGCAGTAACACTGATTCAATTCAGTCTCCAAATGCTCCTGCAAATCCTGTCTGTAATTTTCTTCAGTAATACTCCATTGCCTATCCAGCTGGTCTGCCCTTCTGCAAGGCTGAGAAGGGCTTTTAACAATACCTCTCTTGCCCCAGTGTCGTAAAACATGATTACTTGTTGGAGATAAGCAGACCTGGGAAGCAGAGTGTTAGTACCACCTCCGGTTCTGCTCTGCCACTGAGATTGCAGGCTTCTAAAACTGTCAGAGGTCAGTAGTTAAGCATCCTACCTAGACAACATGTATCCCAGCTAAGTAACAGTGATCTTCCACAAAAAATTTTGATGTTAATTTTTAGAATTTGATCTCCTCTTTCATGAGTCAGTACTGAGCTCATTGCTAACTACTGTTTGAGACTTCATTAAGAGTGAACTAGGTTGAAAATGTAAATGTTTATATTTGTAGCGAGGAAAGACGGTTGTTTATGTTCGTAGCTGAAAGAAGGTTGTAGAGAGGTGGGCGCTGGCCTCTTCTCACAAGTAACAAATAATGTAACAAGAGGAAATGGCCTTAGGTTGCACCAGAGGAGGTTTAAGTTGGATATTAGGAAAAATTTCTTCACTGAAAGTGTTACCAAGCACTGGGACAGGTTGCCCAGGAAGTGATTGAATCACCATCCCTGGATGTTTTCAAGGTTTAGGGTCAGAGCTGCGCCCAGACCTATAACAGACATTCTCTGTTAACACCTCTCCCCTCCCAAAGGGGAAGAGAAAGGGAATAAAGGAGAGAGACGTAGAGAAAGATAAGTAAAGCAGCTTTAATGAAAATAATAATAATAATAAACTGGAATGTATACAAATGTATGCAAAACCAGGATTGAATCCAACCCCCTCGATGGAAATTACGTGACCATCACCACTGCTGCTGTGGAGCAGGCACTGAGGAAGTCCCAGAATGGACTCAAATTACGTGACCATCACCACTGCTGCTGTGGAGCAGGCACTGGAGGAAGTCCCAGAATGGACTCAGTGGCAGACAGAAACCAGATACAGGAGCTGGATTCTGGAACTGGATTTAGGAACACAGGTCAGGATTCAAGGCAGCATGGACAGAGTCCTCCTCAGATGCCAGCCATTGAAGAAGAGAGCTTGACTGTCATGATCCCTCAGCTTTGTATTGAATATTATGTATATGGTATGGAATAATATGTTGGCCAGTTAATGGTCACCTTTCCTATCCAGTCCTTCCCACAGGTGCAGCCTTTTCCTTTCTGCTCCCATTGCGATACACAAGCTATAGCAGTGACCTTGTTTTGCATACCAGTCCTTGGTAGTAACTCTAAACTGAAGCATCATCACTGCTAGGAGAACGTAGAAGACACTGTCTGTGAAAATATGTTATTAACTTCAGAAATTGCAGTTAATTAAAAGAGACTTAGGTGTGAAATAAAATCACTGAGCAGAATTAGTTCTTCTCTAGCTAAAACCGGAACAGACGTGTAAAAGTCATGTAGATACAGTGCTTAGGGACGTGGTTTAAAAGTGTATTTGGTAGAGTTAGGTTAATGGCTGGACTAGATGTTCTTAAGGTCTTTTCCAATGTGAACATTTCTATGATTCTGTGGTTAAGTGTGCAGCATCCACTTCTCTGAAAGCACTGTTTTGCAGTTGCACTGTATTGAAAAAAAAAAAAAAAGCTATGTCTGCTTATTGGCCATTTCTTTATTACTGCTCAAAATACACGAGTATCTATGGCACTGCTACTTTCATTGCAAGAGAATCATAACATTAATGCATCTTTAAACAAACTATGACAGCCTACTCTTGTTGTGTCAGTGGCATATGCCAGCTCTCCCTGAGTCCCTGTCTATAAAACATCCTTCACAGTGCCACTGGGTGACATATGCGAGTAAGTATAACTGTTGTTGCCTGTGATGATTTCTTAAGACACAAGATGTGGCTTCTGCTCCAGGTTACTTTGCAAGCTAAAACCTGAGTCCAGGAACAATCTCCAGAATCTTGTCAAGTTTGAGTAAAGACGTTTCACTTCAAAGTCATATTTGGATTTTTACTCCGTTATCTCGAACACATGAAATCTTTCCCTTTGTCCCCTCACTTTTTCTGCACCTCCCAACCAAACCAAATTCCCTTGTGTTAAAACACAGGGTGTCTTTTCCTGCTTACTCCCCAGTCGTATTCTTTACCTCATTCAGCTGTACTGGCTGCTCTCTTGACACTGCAGCTTTCTTTACCTTTGCTGCTCTCCGCAGAAAATGTTTGATCTAATCCTGTGCTAAAGAGATCTCACAAGATCTGCACATGGTCTCTTGCTCTGAACTGTGTGGTAGAGAAATCTCCCAGCTGGTAGCTTTGCTGGAACACTGTGTGGATGTGCAGGTATATGCATACAGAGTGTGTATATGTACATACTTCATATATACATTACATGCATGTATGTCTTTTACACAAAGAAACTCGGGGAACTCAGGGAAGAGTGAAAAGAATAGCTTGTGGATTAGCCAGCCTCCAGAAGCTTCTCAACATGCATGATGGTATAAGAAGCATTGATGCGTATGCTCAGCCTTGCCCTTCCTGGGCCCATCAGAGCTAATGTACAAGCAGAATAGCGTAGTACTTATGTATTCATCAGTGCCAAGGGTGTAGAAAATGTTTTCCATGCATTAGATACAGCCTTATTGAAAAGGAAAGGAGGGTATGTGTGCATATGTAGGCGTAGAGAGAAGTTTTGAATTCATCCAGACTTGGGTGATGGGGGTGGGAGAAGAGTAAAAATGTTTTATATTCAGAAAACTCTTGAAGTAAGTCATTGAAAACATAAAATTGCTGCATACTGTAAAAAAAATCTAAGTGGTGTTCATACAAAGATTGTTCTTCAGTATTGATATCAAGAGGGTACAGTAAAGAAGTAGTCTCCACATTTGTAAACATTTGAGTTGTGCATTGTTACTAAAATTTAATTGAACTGAAAACAATGCAGTTGCTTGTCTCTGAAAGACAAAGGTTTATATTTATGACTTTATGAAAAGTTACATTCACTACAGTACAGGAACTGTGGTGAGAAACACTAATAAACCCCAGCTTCTTTGGAAAAATGCCATTGTTGATTAATTGCAATATATTTCAACTCTGTATAGATTTCTCAGAGTTACCCAGTAAACACACTGGTTTCATTCTTTGGAGATTAACAATCTCTCTTGTGTGCTCAGGTTCTTTCCATTTTAGTACACTGTTTCTTTTGAAGGATTTGTTTTCGTGGGTTGAACTTTAGAACTTAGAGCACCTTATCACACTTTCACAAGCTTGCTTTCTAAGAGGAGAGAAGAAGGGGGGAAAAGAAAGCCCATCAATGTTTGTGCCAGTTAAATCGAAGCTCTCAGGGGATTTCTGTTTCTTTTGGCATCAGATTAAATGTTCAAACCAAGCAGTGTTGTGAGGCTGCGGGTGGCTGTCCACCAGACCCGTAATGAGGCTAATCCCAGAGCAGCACATTCCAAACAGCTGATGGGTGCAAGGGCTTTGCTCGCTCTCATGTCTCTGCCTGTGGGCACACCGAGTGCCTGGTTCGGAGCGCGGTCGCAGGTGTCTTATTAGTGATGACCAGCAGCGGGGAACGTGGACAGTGGAGTTTGCTCCAGGACAGACTTAAATGCCCAGTTTGATGCTCAGGTAAAGAAGAGGGAATAAAAATGTTCTGGGTGGGATTTTACAGCTTGGTCACTAAAGAGAGAGACCTAACCTAGAGATCTAAGCTCTGAGTAAACTAAATCCAAGTATGAGTATGGCATGTACTTTAGGAATTCACTGTGGACTTTATATTGTCTTATGAATTAATATTCAAGGAGTGTTTATGAAATAAGAAAAGAGAAGATAAGCTTCTTGCTCTACTATTCCTGAGAATACTTTGTTATACTTTTCTAACTTTTTTACTACTTTATTAATTCACATTATAAACACAATGTTAGTTCAGACTGTTTTGTCATGAATGTCTTGATTTCCTCAGGTTACTCCCATTTTCTAATGAAGACTCTGGGGCAAGTAACATAATTTATTACACCTGTAAACCTTGTGTTTCACTACAAATTATCACTGCAACAGAAATATAACAGAAATATAACAGGAATATAACTGGCATGGGGCAGTGAAACTAGATGCCTTTTTTCTTTTTAGTTTGGAAGGACAAGGAGTTATGAAATGGGTAAATGGAGTGTTTTGACATTACAGCTCTGTCAGGTCGGATAGTATATTGTTTGACATCTAAATGCTGTAAAGTCTTTTTTCCTGATGTGAATAAGGGACTTTTAAAACCAAACTATTACTTTTGCAATGTTATATTTGAAGAAGTATCATGAAAATTCCAATGCAAATTATTATTATATTTAACATAGCTGGATTTCTTTTCTGCTTGCAAAGACAGTATGAATAAGAGTCAGAAAGCTGATTTTAAATGTCCATTTCTTGGTTTTTGAAAGCTTGCTTGTATACATTAAGAATACAGTTTTCAGTGAAGTACCTATTAAAGCATCTTTTTGTGTTGGATCTTGAGACTTAGAGAAATTGAATTAGTAGCCATCTTTAGAAAAGATATATTGGGTCTATGTATTACTTAAATTCACCAAGGTAAATTGTCTGTAAAAAATTGAGTGCACAATTCATGAAATTTGATAAAGGATATTTTTACGGAGTCTTGGCAACATGAATAATAATCATACTCTATGTAAGCTGTGCAGCAGGATCTGATTTTGGATGCCAGGAAAATAGTTTACTTATAAAAGCTTTCCATGCTTTCTGAATTAAATAACAGATATTGCAAGCATGCATTTCATGTTAAAACAAGCATGAAGGTAAAACTGGCATTAGTCTATAAATATTCCTTTTTTGTCAAAAAGTTATTGTGCATATATATATACACATACATACCTATATATACATGCATACGTAGATATACATATATATTAGAAAAAATGTAATTTTCCCCTATAGTTTTACTTCAAAAGTTCTGTAGTAAGAGGGTCAAATGAAGTTAATAAAATTCTCTCTGGATACCTTCACCATACTAGAAAGTTTACAAAAAGCTTTTCTTTGCATGAAAAGGCTGCTATACTGAGGAATTCTAAGCTGATTTGATTGTATAATATGCAATGTTGTGATGATGGTGGTGACTACTATTGCCTGCATCATAGGCTTGTAAGCATTTAGAAGTTATGTGATAAATTAGAACTTCTAAGGAGTCTCTCCTAGGTAAAGTAAAACTTTCTTAGATTCTCGAGAATTTCTGTTTAGCTGTCCTTTGGATAAACGTGAAAAAAACCTTCTGTATATGTACATACTTCACATATACAATTACATACAAAATACAAGTATGTCTTTTACACAAAGAACTCAGGGAAGAAAGAGAAAAAATATCTCATGAACTACCCAGCCTAGAAGAACCTTCTCAACATGCATGATGATATAAGTTTAGACGTCAATGCCTGTGCTCAGTCTTGCCCTTGCTGGGCCCGTCAGAGCTAATGTACCAACAGAATAGTTTCAGGTCCCGCATTCTATAATATAATAACTTTCTGTTTGGTACTGTAAGGAAAAGCCATCAAATACAGTTCTATTTAGTGTTTTTAATAGACTTTCCTTTTTCAGAACTGTAAAAGTCATGTTATGGTGTCTACCATTGCTACAAAATACAAAGTTTATCAGATTTTTAAAATAAAAAAACAAATAGAGCAAAGATTAAATACTGTTGCGTAACATGAGGGACCACTAGATCCAGTAAGAGATTATCTTCTGTGACAAAGGCAAAGGAATATCTTTTTGTGTACTGAGAGTGATAAGTGATGAAGTTAGCTAGAAATTCTTATAGTACTTTATACTGGTGACGTTCACTGACTCCAGGAATTTTCCACAGTTCACAATGATTTCCGAAAGTCTCAGAAACACAAGTGTCTGGGTGGAAATATGAAAAACACAATGCAGACTGAGTTGACAAAAAGGTAGCGTTAGGTATTAATGAAAGCTTACCTTATGAGATAACTTTAGTTAGTAAAGGTAGTACTTGGAAAAGTTATTATCTAACCTTACATAGCAAAAGGTAGCATTAATTAGTTAGCTAATGTTATAAAAGCAAGTTCATATTTTCTCTTCTTATGGAGGCAAAATTCTCAGATTTCTATTAAATTATCTAAAGCACGTTTCATATTACTTAACTCTCAGATAGTTTTGTCACAGTTCATATTGTTCTGTTTAGGCTGTGCAATTAAATAGGTGATTTTATTATCTAAATACATTTTATAAAATGTATCTGAAACAAATTTTTAAAGGAAAGTTTCAACTCATCTCCTTGTGAAATGCAAGAATTGAATTCAATCTGGGGAACTTACTTAGAGAGCTTGCCAGAATGCATATTATATGGAGTGGGGACTGTAGATAATTTAAAATATTTCAGAATTCTGGAAGTTTCTTGTTTGGGTTTTTTGTTTGATTGTTAGTTTTTTTATACACATCTATCATTCTTTTTAAAAAGATATCATGTATCTGAAAATTAAGACTACACTGAAGGAAATTACTTGCTTTCCTGTGAATGTGGGGGGGGGAAATCTTGAGTGTTACGAACAGGCATAGCTTCGCTGAACTCATAATGTATCAAAGATTTTTGTTTCTCATTTCAGAAACAGATCATCCCTTTTTCTTTTTTTCCTTTTAAAATATCCACATACAAACCTGTTTTTTCTGGCTCCATGTTCAACAGCACTCTCAGTACTTATATAAAAAATTGTATTGGAATCATGATGTTATAACTTTATTGTGAGGTATTTATTTTCTAGTTTCTGCAATTTATTTTTTTTTTAATTAGAGCAGACTTAGTTGTATTACTAAAATTGTAATACATTTTTGTAAAGTATTTACTAAATAGGTGTGTTTTTTCTCTACCATGTAGAAAAACTTAGTTTTAATTTAATCTTCTCCAGTGATTCTTGCTACGAGAATATAGATGACAGTATCAAAATCATCTGGGTAGTGATTATGAAAACAATTATAAGAGCTTGTGTTAAGTGCTCAGCTCTAGAAGGCGACAGTAGTTCTAGCGGAAAATGTTTGCTTTGTGCAAAATGTGTACTTTGTATGTGCAGTCAGCAAAGCTTTCTTTTACATTTGAAATTTCTCTTCAGTTGTACCATGGATTGTGTTTAATAAGCAAACAGCTCACAGCATTTCCTTTCTCTTTTCAGGCACAGAAATCATGGATCGAAAGAGCATTTTACAAGAGAGAATGTGTCCATATCATACCCAGCACCAAAGACCCCCATAGGTAATTGTGAAAATGGAAGTCAGTTACAAGAAAATGCCAATCTATGTGTGTGCATGCCTAGGTATAGGGATATAAATAGTTTGTTTAAGACTTACTTGATCAGAAGATGTCTGAATTGCATCTTGATGGATTCCTATGGGCACTAGTTGTGGATTCCTCTGGTCACTATTTGTTTACATTTTGAAACTTATTTAATAATTAAAAAAAAAAAAAAAAGTCAAAAGTGGATCAGCATCTATGTTTAATTTCATTATCTTCTTAGTTCAATATTCAGTGCCTTGAGTACTTACCTGAATTGGATGTGTGACACACAATACTGTCAAAGGAAAATAATTGCAGTGAGCTGCCTGTTTAAATTATGTGCTAGTCCATGCAAAAGCTGATTACTTGGCCTGATGTCATCTGAAGGCACTAGAAAATGTTCTTAAATTCATTTTGTACATATTTAGAACAAAACATGACTTTACTGAAATGTAGGAGAGGCCAAAGTAAAAAAGAATATAGAAGGATAGGTAGTAACTGTACTACATTGCTGCCAGAAACAGACTCTACAGATAGCAGGAAATCCATCAGCAGATTTGAAAAGGGTTGGGGTTTTTTTAAAGATTTGTAGGCCCTGTAAGATCGTTTGTTTCCCTGTTCTGTTTATACACACACAGGACTCAAGTTTTCTGTTTGTTTCATGTCATAGGTGTTGCTGTGGTCGTCTGATAGGTCAACACGTTGGACTGACTCCAAGCATCTCCGTTGTTCAGAATGAGAAAAATGAAAGCAGGCTTACTCGCAATGACATCCAGCTGGAGAAGTGGTCCATCAGCAAGCACACGCAGCTCAGCCCGACGGATGCTTTTGGAACCATTGAGTTCCAAGGAGGAGGCCACTCCAATAAAGCCATGGTAACCCTGTTTTTCTCTTAGATAAGTAATGCTGTTAGCTCAAAAAAAGGCATTCACAAAGAATAAACGGCATTCTTTCTTAACTTCGTTTTGAAGTATTGTTTAATGTAAGACTGTACCATATGCTTTTATATATCATGGGTCAAGGAATTGGTTGACAGAATTAATTGTAGAAACTGAAGTTCAGCATAACAGGGGCTACCTTTATGAAGACTGAAGACGTGCTAATGTGCTGCTATCTTGATTTTCTTCCAGTGGCTAGCCATCCCTCTCTTTTTCTGAATAACTTTAGAATTCAGCTATGGCTTCCCATTTCTGGGTGTGTCTGCAAGGCTGATAAATTTGAAGTACACCAAATTTCTTTTCATATTCCTCCAGATCTGCATTGGAGGATAGACCTGTTAGACTTAGTGCTTCATCTTTCAATGAAATAAGAGGCCCAGTAAGTGCCTAAGCTAGGAACTGGAAAATTCTTATTTTGCCACAGATTTCCTTGAGCAAGTCACTTAATCATAATACAGTGCTATGGAGCAATACCAGAGCATATTAATCTGAAGGCACTGTTCCATTAAGTTGGAGATGTGTTTCCAACACCCACATTAACACATGCGTGTGTTTCTTCTCTGTGGCATTACATGAATGGAAGAATCTCTCCAGCTCTATCTAAATGACAGGACCTTAGACTTTGGAAATGAAAGATGAGTGTGTACCTAACTCACTGTGGCCAAGACACTGCTTTGGACAGCAGTGAGGGCAGAAGCAGAGCCTCTGGGCACTCTGCAGAATAACCTGCTCAACAACCCAGTACCATCTTCTTTGCCTGAATTCTTCCCAACAGGTCTCTCAGATCTGTTGTGGTACTAGATGGATTAGAGACAATGAAGAGCTCAGGTACTGTGCTAGCAAGAGCCAGATATTTTCCTCAGATGGCTACATAGGTGCTGGAGGTGGAGTGATTACCTGAGTGGATAGTTCTGTTCTCCCAGATGGATGGCTTCCTTTGATAGAAACCAGAAAACAATGTTGCACTAAGAAACAGATAGAAAATTAGGTAATTTCTCTGAGAGTATCACAGACACCTTATGTTCTATTGATAACCAGTCACCTAAAAATCTGCAAGGCCATCTCTAGGGAGAGACTCTGGTTCAGTAAATAACATTTGTTTAGTGTGAATAAATTGACACCTCCCCCAGCACTGAAACGAGCCAGCCCGTGCTGTTGATACTTTCACAAGGAGTGGAAACAAAACAGAATGCTTTTCACCAAAACTGAGAAAGATTCAGAGATACAGTAACCAACATGCTATTAACCATATATGGATACTTCACATTAGATCTGTCTTTATGAGAAAGGGTAATCACTAGAGCTTTTTGAGTGCTTGAAGATCACTGTAAAGCAATAAACTGCCCTGCCCAAACAAAAGTAGTCTTGGGCAGCCAGGAAATTAGTAAGGTTTTAAGGAAGCTGTTGATACCAGTTTCTCTAGAGGACTTCTGGTGTCCTGGTACAGTGCATAAGAGAACAAGAGATGCACCAAAGTACATGCTGTGCTCTCAAAGAAATATGCTTGAAGTGAAGCTGTGGAGATAAAATTGAAAGTCAACATGAAGGAAAGAAAAATCTTGTCATAGAGTACAGTCAGGAATGAATCCATGAAAAATATATAAAAAAGAAGACAAAAAGGAGTTAAAATCTGAGCAACCTAAATAAGTTAAAACTTAGAGATTAATACCGATGAACCATTTGTTGCTGGAAAAACCCTGGATTAATTTTGACAGTAATAGAATCAGGAAGATATGTGCACCTGCCATCATAGTCATTAAATTGCACCCAAAACATGGGAACAATTAAATTCTTTCTTAGTAAAATAAGTCTATAAAAGCTCCACAAATTCAGTCATCCCACTAATGGGAAAAGTCCTTCAAATTAAACAACTCACTAAATATCTCTTTAATGTGTGTCCTGCTTGGTTACCATCAATGAGAAAAATATCTTTCATATGACCAAAACACAAATAAGGAAGTCTGCAAAAGCAGTAACTGTGTATTCTTTAGAACAGAAACAATATAGTCTTGTACTATGGGATGTGTGTTTTTCACTGGAAACAGTATGAAGGTGTCCTAATAGTCCTATTTCCAGCCCTAAACATTACTTTGGGTAGATTACAGTCAAAAAGTTGCCTAGCTAGTTGCTGTAGTTTTATTAAGAGAAAGAATTAAACTCCTGTCACTGAATTTCCTGGGTACAAGGTCTTTCCTATAATAAATAAATCAAAAGCTATCTGTGAAAACCAAAAGTTTGTGCAGTCAAAGCACCCAACCAAGCAGAGGAGGGAAAAAAGAACTTTTAAACTACCTTGAAAAATAAGTCTTGGAAACAAGAACAAGTACATAGTAATCCTTGGAAACATTCTTATTCAGACAATATCTTTTCAAACCCAAAAGCAGAGAAGCTGGAACATCAATGGAGGCAGGAGGAGGGAGAGAAAAGGGAAAAAAAATCAATAAATGGATATTTGTTTTTTTCTAAAAAAAACATATATAAAATATATAAAAATATGCTACTTAGTTTTTCCAGCTACAGGGTATCAAATATCGCTATAGCATACAAGCTGATTTTTGCTGACAATCACGTTTGGTTAATATTGTGCCTGTTGGCTAGTAGAATAAACCTTATAAAGCAGCAAAATTTAGCAAGCTGACCAACATCAAGGAAAGCCTTAGGGATAGAATTTAACATAAAATTCACCATCTGTTGTTACTTTATTTCCTGAAATGATTGTCCACAAGTGAAAATTATTCATCAAGGTAAACAGAACTGACTAGTATTATCTTGGTTTGTGCTAACAGCAAAATTGGTAAACTTTTCTGAATCAGGCTACAAGGAATGTGGTGGGATTTATTCATGGAAAGTGTAACCTCAGATTTATATTTTGGAAAATGGTAGCTAATTAGTGGAACAGAGTAGTGTAAGACTGACAGATAATAATTTCTTCCCTTGGAAGTAGCCAAATTAGATTTTAGTTTTATATATATATATATACGTGCATACTTTGCATGTATATTTGCAAACTACAAATGCAGTGATATAAGTGATATAATATTAGTTGCTGCCAAATAATTAACAGTGGCATCTTTAGCTGTGAAAAAGAAAATTACACTGAATTTATAACAGAACACATGGATTTGAAACAAAACAGAAAAGACAGTGTAAGCTTACATATTATTGATAGAAACGACTATGCCAGTATTTTCATTCTACAGCCACACATAAAAATTCGCAAACAGCTTGAATTTTGCTAATGCCATTGAGTTGTTAAAGTATCTTCAGTGGGGCTGCACTAAGCTACTTAAATGAATCGTGAATAGCTAAGGGTGCAGCAGATTATATAGAAACACGTAGCCATGATTAGGTAACATTGGTTCACCGGATCAGTTGCTAAACAGGCCTTTCTTTCAGTCTTCATATAATGACAGATGATCCTGCAACAGCACTGTGTTTTTTAGTTCTCTATCAATATCATATTTTCTTTACAAGTATCTCATCCCATTCATGTTTAAGAAACACATTTAAAAGCTTTGCTTTTTGTATTAACATAACTTTTATGGCAGAGGCACTGTAAAAAGATCTCAGAGGGATGGGGAGATCTGTACAGCTTTTGCGATAAATCAGTGAATTTAAAAAATGTAGGAAAATTAATAAAATGTGATCTACTTGTATTAGTTGGCTCTTAGTAGTTTAAGAAATAACATGGATGAGTTTGTCTGACTAAATAGTGGCAATTTGTTACCCTGATTCTGAGAGCAGTTATAAAACTAATGTGAGTGATTCCATTCCAATTATGAGCAACATCCTGAACAATTTCAACTGGTCATTAGTGGACCAGTTAAGACAATGTTACTGTGATGCATTTTGCACTGAGCCTGTCATCAGATTAAACAATTTTTTTAAAGTTTACGGTCTGCCTTCCAACACACACAAAAAACCTCACCCTTAACATTCTTTCATTAATTGATGCCTAGATTCCTTATCAGGACCACTCTACAGAATTCAAATTTCTTTGATCATCCAAGGTTAGATGGAAGATGGCTGTTTGAAAAGCTTTCTTGTTAAGTTCATTTGTCCTAATTGAGTGCATTCCAATAATACTTCTAATGTGCACAATAAAAAGCTAGCATAGAAGAATGCAGCTGCAGAAGAAATAAAGTTTACTTCAGTCCACCATGCAAGCATCTGGCTGTTTGACCAATAATGGGCACAGTTATTTTTTATGATACCACTAGATAAAAAGTGTAAACAGCTATTGGCATGAAATGGTACCCTTGCTGTCTGCATCTGCTCTAGTTTAGGGATCAGATGGTCATGACAGCTTGAAATTGATGATTTATCAGTTTACAGTGTTGTGCTGGTGTCAGGCAGGGTGGTCCATAGGTTTTGGGGTTCAGAGCAGTACTTCTGCATCCTTTCTTGCCCTGCTCTGCTCACACATAACAACCAAAGTCTTGCATCCTACCCACACACTACTCCCATGAAGAAGGGATTAAATTGTTTGCCATTAGAAGGGATCATTTCTATGGCTGACAAATACACCAGATATGGAATTTCAAGGTAACAGAGCAGTGGTTTAGGTTAGATTTATGTTTAAATTTTATAGGTAAATTTAGATCGATGGATGCTATATAAAAGCACCTGTTCAATAGTTTTGCTCAAATTTATGTGTGCTTGAACAACTGAGGTTGTTTCTCTTATTTCCCACCTCTTGAGATTTAGATTTTGTTAATTTGAAAACAAGATACAAGTGAATGTACAGTTGTGACTGACTACCTAGGTCATGTTTGTCAGACCAATTAAAATTTTGCTCCACTTTTTTCATCCATAAATTAAAGACATGTATCTTTCAGGCATTGCTGAGAATATTGAAACAGTTAATGGCTTAACTTCCTAAATAAAGGCATATTGTCTAGCCTGTGAATTGCAAGTGTTCCATTATTCCTAGTTTCCTAACTTTTGAAAAATCATCAAGTTAGCAACCAGTTACTGCTTTTGTCATAAAGGTTGTCTTTTTTTCTTTTGATCTATTTGATATAGCTATGTGTTAGGAACCAGTGAGTATAACTGATCTTTTTTCCTCTACTGCTACCCTTATTTCTGCAGTATGTACGGGTGTCTTTTGACACAAAGCCTGACCTTCTTCTGCACCTGATGACCAAAGAGTGGCAGCTTGAGCTCCCTAAACTTCTCATCTCTGTGCATGGGGGCCTTCAGAATTTTGAACTTCAGCCAAAACTCAAACAAGTCTTTGGAAAAGGCCTCATTAAGGCTGCTATGACAACTGGAGCATGGATATTCACTGGAGGAGTAAACACAGGTAACATTGAAAAGAAAGCACAGTGGCATTTAGGAGATTTCATCATAGAAAAAAATTAGGACTGATAAGATTAAGGAGCTATTCCTTGTTTTATTTAATTAGTGTTGGCTGTACTATATGCAAACAAGAAAATGCCAAGTTCAAACCAGCCTGGCAACTACCAGGGAATAAAAGGCTTGCTGAAGCATGGAAAGCACACTGAGGAGCTGAAAATAAAGCCTCCTGTGAGGCAATTATATTAGTATATTGCCAATGAAGACTCTACTATAGTAAACCTCAAGGAGGGACTACTAACCAGAAACCTAAAAAGTCAAACTCTTATTACATAAAATGGAAAACATTTTCATCCAGAAAATTCCTTTTATTTTTTTTTACAAGATGATCTGAATTACAAAAGGAAAAGAGGTTATTTGTTGTGGATGTGGTGAAAAACTTTAATGTAAGTATCACTTTTTCCTTTCATGTAGACAACTTGACCTAATTTTTTCTGTTATCACTGAAGCAAGAGCAATAACATTGCCATTTCTGTTCAAAGTTAAGAACATCTGTAACATACCATATGTGTGTCCTAATGACCATAGATAGCAGCTGGCCCAGGAGACAGCTGGCTCTCTGCTAGAAGGCAGTGTCACAGGTTTTGTGAATAAGCTGCAAATCTTTGTTCTTTAGATAGAAAAGTCTGAACAGTGGTTTTCCAATTACCATCCCTGCAGAGTGTAGAAAGGAGGAGAGACAGAGGAAAGTCAAAGAGTTCTACTAGATAAAAGTGCAAAAAGTTTTGAGCTAGGACATGTACTTGTAAATTCTTATGTCATTATCATTTGCTGCAGCAACAAAGCTATAATGTATTACTTTAATAATGCCACAGAATGCATCCTCTTCCTGGCTATAAAAAACATTGTAATCACACTAGTGCATGGTGGATCAACTCCTACATATTTGAATACATAGATAAATAGGTTCACGTGTTTCTAATATCCCTCACATCTCTGCTGAACAGTTCAAGGAGGAAAACTGGGTTAAATGTTGACCTGTGTACTGTGGTGACAATAGTTATGTTAGTTGCCAGACACACTTGAATCTGACAATAGCAGAGACGGATATAATTTCTAAATTAAATGCACATTTAATTTAGAAACTTGTAGGTATTGCAGTGGATTAGCACAGAACTATAGAAGTCAAACTACAGGAAGTTTGTAAACAAGGACTGGCTCTAACACTTGAATGTGGCAAATGCACGACTCATTCATACATTTTTTTAAATCATCATAGCTGAAAATGCCAAAACAATGCAAATGAACCATAAAAGTAAATGTCGTTACTGTTGAAAAGATTTTTTTTCCTGTAATCAAAAATTACGTAGACAAAAAAATTAAGTTCAAATTGGTGTGTGTTATTTTAAAAACACAGAATTCCAGGAGCAGCTCTGCATTATCATTTACCTCTCCATGCCTTTTTTAATTTCGGGAGCAAAGCACTTGTTTGCGTTGCAGCTATGTTTTCAGAATGTGTAGGTGAAAATTAGGTGGTTTACCTCTATGAGCAATTGTACAAATTGAGAACTTCTGAGTACAACTTGTTCTTTTGATGATGAATTTTTAAATCAGATTTTTTGTAAGGAGAAGTATAATTAAAAAATCCTGAAATGCTCCTGATGGACTAAGAATCAGTGATGTGACAGGGAAGGTGAATACTTGGCTATGACTGTTAAATGATTAAACAAGTTGGTCTGAATATTCATGTTATGCCAAAAGTTGATTATTCTAAACAGCAGAATGTTTTGCAGTCTGGGCAGATTTTCTGCTTTGAATCCTCTGGGTTGCTGAATCAGAGCTTAATTCATAGTTGATTGCAGGTACAAGGTTGTGGTATTTTGTTGGGGTTTTTTCCTTCCACAGTAAGGAAATTAGACTCCAGGACTTAGAGGATTCGTTAGGTTATTACTTCTTGTCTTACATGGTTCATTTAGGGTGCAGAAAAACTGTGTCTAAAATAATATGTATTCTGTAATTGTTGTAATTCCAATCCAGACATCCTGAAATTGCAGAATCTGAACACAAAACAAACACAGAAGCTAATGGCTAACATGCACAGCAAATCCATAAGTCTGCCTCAGTGCAGCCACATCACAAAATAGTTACAGATACAAAGGTAAAAAATTACTTTATGAAAAAAAGAAGGAGAAATGGCATTTGTCCTCTGCACAAAGATATCACTGGAACACTGACAAAGCTGGCCCAAGGTGTATAAGGAGCATTATCAGAAAGCACTTTGGAATAGAGTCGAGGAGCAGTCATGCTCTCTGTGCCAATTTCTGTTTTCTAACTGATCCCCATGGGGTTTTTCAATACTCTGCTGGAAGCTATCTCGGGTGTCTGAGTTTGCTTGGAAGGAATGATAGAATAGTTCACCACAGAGTAGTGTAATGATGTTTTCACATTTCTATCCTTTATTCAGACAGAAGGGAACATCTGTGTGCAAGCTATGCTTTTGGGAGAGGTTGGGAGGAGTGGGTTATTTCCTGTGATTCTTCCCATGCTTGGGAAAGATACAAATGCTTACATGCACATATGTTTGTGAACATATGTGCAGACAAACAAGTTACAGTCAGCTGTCAACATTTCCATTAACATTTCTAGAGCTATTTAATTTTTTTCTTGCTAATTAATATTTTTTTGATTAAATAAAATGGACTTACAGTATTATTGTAATAATAATAATCGATAGAAATATATTAATAGCTTTACTTAATTGTAAGCATATGCTTAGGTGTTCCCCAAAAAGGAATTCTATACTAAATCCATACAATAATGACAAGAAGGATAAAATTACTAATTTCAATTACATGTTCTTTCTTTCCCAGGAGTCATTCGGCATGTTGGAGATGCACTGAAAGATCATGCCTCAAAATCTCGAGGGAAGATCTGCACAATTGGTATAGCTCCCTGGGGGATCGTGGAAAATCAAGAGGATCTGATTGGCAAAGATGTAAGACATAGATCACCTTCAATACATATAAATCTTCCAGTTATTTTTTCTTTCCTCCTCATCCCTCACTTAACAATTCCTCAGAGAATTAATGTCTGCAGCAAATAATCAATACATGTGCAAGGTTTCCATTATGGTTGATAGCAGTTTTGACATGACAACAATAAAAATTCTTGCACTCTACGTTCCTTAAAATAAATCATAAAGAAATCTATTAAATGCTATTATTGAAAATATATTAAATTTTCATCCTTACAACACCATATATCTTGAAAAGTGCCTGGGAAAATACTGATCACAAAGCTTGAAGCCTGGTTTATTTTGAAAGAATACTATGATACATTGTTTAAATTCAGAATTGGAGACCATCCCCCTTAAAATATATTCTGTCCTATATATTTTTAATACTGCAATTGGGAAGAGTCTTATAAATGTACTGGACACGAGATCAGACCTCAAAGAATCATTAATTCTGTCACCTGAAGGAGAGAGTCAATGTTTCTCATACTCTTTCACATCATTCTTCTCTTTTAAACCTATGCTGTCACTCAGAAAGATTAGCCCCCAGTTTTAAATATATTAATAGCTTACTAACACTAGTTATGTTACCTGAAACTTTTATGAGCCCTTTTTTTTTCCTCACCTCTGTTTCATGCCCAGGCAGTCTAGCTAAGAACCAGTGGCTAAATTTGAGTGGAGAAGAGATACATTCTTCACTCTCTAAACCATTCTTCTCTACATGTTCATCCATTAACAAGTATGGGATGGTAAGAAGCTTCAGTTATCAGTTAGGTCAGAAGGAATCACAATGAGTATGAAGAAATTGATCTAACTGGAATTCATTGCCATTCACTATTGAAGTATAGCCATTAGGGGGAACTGTAGGAGCATGTGGGTTTGTATTTTAATACCACCACCACTTGTTTATAGGGTTACCAGTATATACAAACAAGCAGAATGGGGTGGTGCAGCAATAATTCTGAGTCACTAGTGAGCTCTTCTGAGTTACAGTGTGAAAGGTGACTAGCAGAAATAGCTAAATCAAAAATATGAGGTGTGTCTTGTTAAAGCAGTATAATGTACACATCACTTTCAAGTAGGGAGTTTTTATTGTCTATGCATGGAGTTCTGGAAGCCCTGCATGAGGAAAGAGGGAAAGAAAGATCAAATTAGTAGTGAGTTTTGGGATATTGATATTCCTCCATTACTTATGCCAACCTGTTGGAAAGTTATATACCTCTGTTCTCAGCTAGTCACCATCTGTTAAAAGTGCTTTAAAGCCTTCTTTCAGAGAAAGAGCTGAAGAAAAAAGTTGTTTTCCCAGCTGTTTCATCCAACTGGAACAGCCACCCTGATTTCTGATTTCTTTAAGAGGAGTTTTTCCTATAAACATCCTACTAATTTAACAGGAAACAGGAAGTTGGGTGCTTTTTTAAAAAAAAAAATGCTTTCTGTTAAATCAAAAAGGGTCAGTACTTATTCTGATCATCAGACAGAAAGTGACAAAAGTTTAAAAAACAGTAAAGAATGCAAATTTGAGTAGAATCTTCCACTAATGCAGCCAGAATTATATAAGTAGGATTACAGTTACAGGGTCATCACTAAGGTCAAAAGTAGTCCTGAAATGTTTGTGTCACAGACACAACTGAAACCCCTCCAAACCTCCTGGCTTCTAATATCTTCATAAAATGGTTGTTCAATGGTATGATGCAATGCTGAAGCACTTCTAGTTTGTTTGTTTGGTTTTTTTTTTTTGTTTGGTTTGTTTTTTTGTTGTTTGTTTTTTTTTTTAATCTCTAATGCATATGTAATGCTACTGCTTTATATTTACTGCTATTGAATTTCATTTTCAATTTTATTGCCTAGTGAGGCTGCTTTTTGGAGGCTGTCTTTAACTCTTCATAGTCCACTGAAATATCTAAAAACTTTGGACACTCTTTTTGACACCAAATCCCTTACAACTGTGCTGAACAGAACAAGAACCAGCTTGAGGTAGACCACTGATATCACTAAATCTTTTTGGTAACACTCGGTCTTTGCAAATGTTAACTTTTCCCTCTTACTGTTTTCTCTCCCTTCCCCTTAGCTTCACCCATGGCTAATCCCTCAAAGGATGTTCCCCTTTACCAAATGTGTGCAGTTTCTTTAGAAGCTTTTGGTGGGGAAACGTTTTGAAAGCTTTTTGAAAATCAAAGTGTATTATACTGACTGGCTCATTAGAGATGAATGCTGTGAAATGAGCCAAGAAGGGGAAATATAAATAGTGCCATAAGCATATAAAATGAATCAACATTAAGCAAGAAACAAAGGCCACAAAGGATTACGCAGGGGGGGAAAAAGTCAGCCAATAGTAAAAGGCCTGTCAAATGCAGCATCAATGTGGCTTTATGCCTATATGCACTATGTCTAGTTAAATTACAATCAGAACTGAAGAGTTGTCAAAACATACTTTTCCAGCGTCAGATAGATACAGAAAACTTAGTCATGGGATTTGGCAGGGGGGAGTTATTGCTATTGCACATGCCTCAGTGCATGTTGCGTCCTTATGGTTCTTGGCAAGTTAGGCGTGCTCAGCCGAGCTGTGCTTCTGCTGAGGCTCCAGCCCTTGCCTAGCCTGTATGGGTCTTGAAGTTGTAGCTGAGGAGTTTTACGACATTTACGAGTCCATCCCGATCAGTCAGGTCTTGGGAATCCCAAACCCTTTCCTCAGAGCCATAAAGAGAACCGGCCAAATTAACCAAAATAATACTGTTGTTTGGTATTTGTTATGTTGTGATGGTTGGAGATACCTAAAGAGACTTGTCTTATTCCAGTACTTTAAAAGCAATATACCAGATATATCATTGAACTAAAATTGAATACACCAGATATATAATACATTATATAATATAATAGTGCCCCTATTAACACACTTAGAGTCTAATTTAAAAACAAGACACAAAAAGAAAAGGTGGGTAGTGGCCTTCTTTCCAATTTTCTGCTAAAAGAACTGGAAAAGCAAGGTGGTTTACTCAGCCTTGTAGAAAACTTAAATTACAAACAAGTTTTCTGTATTTAGGGAGCTATGTAAAGAGATATTCTTCCTTTTAGAAGAGTGCACATTGTGAGTCTTTGTAGCATGCACATCTTTCAGAGTCTGTTCAGTCCTCATTTGGGTTTAACTCCTAGTCACCTCAGTAGGAGCAGTGCCTGGATTAAGAAAAGGATAGCGGTGTTATACTTTCATTTTGCTTAGTGAAAGGACATTTCCAGCATACTATCATGTCATTGATCAGTCAAGATGCTGTAGTATGTAACCTACTAACTTAAATAGGATGCATTTTTTTTAGCAATTAGAGTTTTGAGGAAAAACCCAACATTTTCATACTGAACTAATTGAACCTAATACTGAGCTTCTGTGCTGCTGTGCTGAATCACTGCAAAACCCATGACACCCACTCTTCCTTGCCTGCTATAAAAAACCTTCCATATGTGAATCCAGCAGGTTGACATAATGAGAAATTCCGAAATTCTCTCAGAGTTTCTTGACTTTCATTTGTCTCCCGTAGAGTACTGTTATATATTACATGGATTGCAATATGTTTCTCTCCCTGTATTGCTTCATTGGTCTTTCAGTTGTGCTCAACAACTTGAGTATGGTAGAACTAAAGCTCAGTAGAAATTTTGGAAAATCTAAAGCACTACCTATTTTTAAAAAAAGCTTTAGCCAGTGAAAAGGAAGCAGTAGTGGTTGGCTTTTACAATTCCATGCAGCAGAATGCACAACCCAATATATAAGCCTACTTTGTAGATTTGTGCCTGAACAGACAAAAGTGTGACGTAAAAGTGAAAAGTGTTACCAGAAAGAAAACTACTTTCTTAGAGCAAGTTTGTATCTATGTAAGAAATACATATTTATTATACAAATATATATTATGCATAGTATATATTAAATATCCTATAATATATAATATAATATCTTAACTATATATATCTTATAATAGATACTGTATTTATTTATTAAAGTATTTTTAATATCTCTATCAACCCCTTTAATGCAGTCTGTGTTCCAGAGTAAATTATATGTTTCAATTCCTAGAAATCAAATGCGGGAAGCGCAGTCTTTGCCCATTGTAGATGTTCTTTATGGACTTCGCTTATACAGATGCTTGTTCTTTTGTACTGCTCAGAATATTCTGAAAAAATAAATTTTATAAAACTCACCAATGAATATAGTGTTATTTGAAACCTAGTCTCCTATGCAGCTGAAATCATAAAAATAAGGAGCAAATGTTGTCCCTTTTTATGTAAAAGCTAAACTTATATCGGACTAAACATAAGTGGAATCCAAACGTCTTTAGATATTTCTTTTGTTAAAAAAGTAAAGACTGGCTTTCTCACTCTATTTCTAAATAATGCTTGTGATTTATTAAATTTATTTATTTTCAGAGTAACAAATTCTTGTGTTAGTGCAATTGTATTTTATAACTGTAACTGGATGTAAGAACATGTCAACAACAAAGTTTTCTCTGGGATGCTCAAATGGTACTGCAGTCTTGCTCTAGTTGCACAGTTTTATTTTCAGCTTTTTTTCAGTATTGATTTGGGTGGTGGAGTGGGAAGAAATTTTAAAAGGTGGAAAGCTGTATGCACTTCAGAGGGCACGGTCACAATGGAGAAGTTAGAAGTCAGCCTGTCATGGAACAGATGCTAGCCTAAACTTCCCAAAATCTCTGGACAATAATAGATTAGACAACTTCTTCAGGAAAGGACTTCCCATGTTGTAGTGGGTGACCAGGTAATTATTAATAGTTAACTCAGTGCTGAATCAGAAAAATTAGTATTATTCTGGAATGTAGATTTAGAATCATTCACTTTTACAGCACTGGGCACAGGTGAGGCCAATGTCTAGTTATGAGACAAGGCAAGGAAATAAGAGCAAGCAGGAGGTGAAGAAAACATAACCAATGAGTAAGGCTTAAATAGGTAGAATTGTTTACTTTCTATTACAGCTAAACGTTTATTTTCATCAGCACACAAAGTTATACCTGCTCCCTTCTCCTTGATCCCACCAGTAAGTACTTCATTATAAATGACCTTACTCTGCCTGTACCACGTACCCTTCATTTTCAGAATACTATCTACTTCCCTGAGATTACTAAAGGTTACCCAACACAGAAAAAGTGTGCATTTAAGACTTAATGTACCTTAGAATTAGTGTCTTTACTAAACCGTGATCTTTAAAACACATCAGTGAGACCTGTCAGAAAGAGCAGTGCTCATACTGCTTCTCCTGTATGTTTGTACCAGACAACACATGCATCAGACTGTCAAGATGGGCTACACGTTTCCTTTTCATTCTTTCACAGTAATCTGAATAACAGTGTTAGCATATAGCATGAGACTCCTTCCTTCTGTCTCTCATACTTCATTGTTTATACACTGTCAGATTATGGTTAGCTTTAATTATTTTCTGCAGGTTTCAGAATAACAATAAAAGTTACAAACCTCAGGCAACTTAATAGTAAGTGTCTATTAGTTTATTATCATTGGATTTGTTGTTAGCAATTTTGGCTTGTTTTTGGTAGACATTTTGCAATTTGCCTTCCAAAAACATGTTGCTCTTAAAGAATAACTTGGATTGCTGGGGTGCAAAAAAGATTGCAGATAATCAGAAATAGTTAGCTCACACTTTGTTTCACTGTAACTTTTATCCAGTGTTGAGGTATCGTAGCCCCCTTGCAGGCTAGGTCAGGAAACAATCACTCTCAGGAAAGATGTAAGGAAAAGAGATTGAGCTAACTCTTATTGCTAACTACAAAGTGGGGAGCACGCCTTCGGCGAAGCTGTGGATTGGCATATTTGTAGCCTATACAGACAGTTTGTACCACGATGCTTCCAGTATCCTCTAAATTAAATCAGGAACTACTCTATTCCCCGGTATACTTCAGAACAGTGGGGCTGCACAGAAGGTTTAGTTTGAACAACAGCTACTACTTTTTGAAAAGCAAAGCACGCATGTCTTTCTCTCTCCACCACTATTCTGAACACAGTTAAATTTGTGTGAATGCTTTACCTGCACCTTCCTTGCACAGATTCATGCATTGGATCACATGACACATGCATACACACGATCTGTGGTGAGATACCTGTAGTAACTTTTCAATTGCTGTCCCTATGTGTGTCGTGTGCCTGTGGGGAATGTGAATTAAGTGTAACAGTGCTTTTAATTCAAGACTGGGCCACCTCAGGGTGCAAAGACAACTGCTGCCATTAGCCCAGCTCCTCACATATTGACAGAATGCCCTCAGTCCGTGCAGCATGAGTACTGCCTCACAGCATGGCTGCTGTCACAGTCATTCATTAACCTATATTTAGAGGGTTGACTAGAGCATAAATGCTTCCTTTCAGCTCTGCAAAGGAAGATGCCAGGGGACATTATTCCCTCTTCTCAGTGCAGAAGGAGGATGAGAGGACTTTAAAGTCAAAGTTTTCCAACCTTTTAAGTTCCATGTAAAGTATTAGAGATTGAAAAGAACAAAGGATTGAAAAGTGCAAGAGTGAGAAATGGAAGATCTGCTGAGTATTGTGGAAAAGCAATTCACCTCAAGGAAATAGCCTCAAAGCCTAGGATTTTCTTGCCTTCCTGAAGATTTTTTTATCCTTTAGTCGGGAAAAGAGTCTGACAGTGTGGCTTGTAAAATTTATTAATTTTTTTAAAGTATTTCAGCTGGTGAACTGTGCATGCTGGGAACAGTTCAAGTGAAAATAATTGTATTCTCATTTTCACATCTATAAAATTTATTAATAAGAAGATTCACCTTGTAGCTAGACAGCGGATGCAGAACCAAAGGATAGCCTTCTAATCTGCCCTGCAGCAGCATTACTAGGTCAATGTATGGAGCCTTTGATGTTGCAGGTCTTTAGAACTGCAGATCAAGCTGTCACCATTAGAAGGTTTTGAGCTGGGGCTCTCAGGGACAAACCACAACCTGCCAGTAGAATTGCATGCACAGTGGCTCGCAGTCGGT